GGCAGGGAGAGCGAACGCGGTGAGCGGGGGGGGGCTCCCCCCCGCCAGGGCCGGTGGGACGCGGCAGGGCCTGGCTGCGGCCTGGGCGCTCCGGAGCGAGTCTCGGCGAGAGCGGGACCCTGCCACCGAAAACCAGACCCAGAAGAACTCCCAAGCCAGGACGGGCTCCTCCAGTACACACCAGCGATCCCCAGGGCTGGAGTTAAGGGAAATCCCGCTCCGCAGGGACACCGGCAGGTGCAGGATGACTTTCTAACAGTTCTTTAAAGCGTTGCCTGTAAGATCTGGCTATTGCAACTGAGAATTGCAGAGTACGTCTGTGCATCCTTCCTTCAGCTAGGAGAAGGAGGCTGGTCGGCTGCTCAGGAACCTCGCTTGGAACCTCTCGTGCAGCAGTGGCAGAGGGGAGCGGAAACTGTGGACATCTTAAAAGAAAAAAAAACAACTATCCACTGTAGCATCGTGGAAGCTGTTCTAGAAATATGACGTATTTGCAAACTCAATATATAAATACAGCGGCGTGCATACCCTAGGTACAGATAAGATTTGACCCGATGTCTTCTCTTTAAAATTGCGGTCTGTGTTTTTATACGGACAAGTGAACGCTTTGGGCTTTTGAAGCCTCGCGGTTTCCCTCTTTATACTATTTATAAAGACTACTTTTTCATAAGGCTTTTAAATAAATGTAGCGTAGAAGAGACACCGTGAATTTGGCCTTGCTGTGATGGAAGCAGTCTGGAGATGCAGTTTGTCCACAGCAGGGGATGCAATCTTTCTAACAAGGGAGAAACTTTTTCTGTAGGTGAAATACTCTGTACTGCAGGGACTGGTCTTGTGCCCGTTCATCCTAACGCACACTTTGTTCCACAAGCCCATGCCGGGGCAGCCTTGGCCCTCTTGGTCACGATGTGGGAATTTGAATTAAGAAAACTGAGCTTAACCAACCTCCTAAGTGATGTACCAACCTGCTCCAGAAATCGTTCCACAAGTGGCTTTAATTTTTCTTTGTGTATTTATAAAAGCAGACTTGTTTTTCCTGTACAGTGGCTTGTATGTGTGATTTTTTTTTTTAATGATTCTGATACGGCATTGCTTTTTGGTTTTGTTTTTTTTCCTCCTGTGAAAGAATGAGTGTAAATGTACAGTCGGCATTATGCATTCAGTTTAATTCTTTTGCAAGGAAAAATTGGTGGAAATTATTTCAGGCGATTTCCATTTACTCTTGCAGCACTTTAAAGTGTCTGATACTTCTGCAGCTGGCTTACCTGTTTTTCCTGGAATTCCCCTGCAGCTTGGCATTAGTTAATGTGCAACAATTCTCTATCGAATGCAGTCATTAACTACAACGCAATGCCTCCCTGTGTTACAGCCTGCTTCTAACCCTCCCCGATGCTAATGAAGACCATCATCCTTTTTCAGAAGCCCACAAAGATACCGTGGTGCATGCAAACAGCTGTACTGGAAAAACAAACTGCCACAGCTTTTTTTTATCTCGTCTGCTCTGTCCTGCCCTTAGGTCTTTCTGCTTGGTTTTTAATTTTTTTCTCCGTGTCTAAAACCTAGTCGAGATGTTTAATGGGATAGGACCTTAATGCGTCTTTCTGTAGAGGACAGCGTGGTCCCTTACACTGCGAAAACTTTTTTTTTTTCTTTTAATAAAGGTGTTAGCATCAAAGTATTAAAGCCGGGAAAAATAGCAAAGAAAACCCGAGATGTGTTAAAGAAAAGCCTCTATGTGTAACTTCTTGCTTACTCAGTAATTGAAACTTTTTTCATGTGTTCTGGATATCTGTAAGCAGAAGGTTTAAATCTGTAATGCCGTTCATTCTCTCTGCAGTCTGGTTATTGTGTTTTCACAACAGCAAAATTACTGTTATTGCTGACTTATAGAATAAATACAGGATATCTCACCACTGACCAGTCATTGCTTCCCTTCACAAGTACGACAGTCGTGAACCAAGTAGAGTGCAGAGTGTGAACTGAGTATGGTGCAGAGCACAAGTTTCTTTCTCCTAACAGTCCGAATGGTGCAGCTGGCCTCTCTGAAAGGCGAAGCTTAACGCTGGCTTTTCAGTCCAGATCTTCCATGGGCGTCCTGCAGGCACGTCCGGGGCATTCGGCTCTGGGAGCTGGCTGTCGTGTGAGGCAAAGGTACGGGGTTAAGGGCGCCGACACTATTGCACAGCGCAAGGTTCTCTTGTAGCCGTGTGCTCGTCATCGGCAGTTTCCTTCATTCAGCTCGTTTACTATTCGTGTGGTTCATCTCGTTTTGGTTTTGACTGGGTTTTTAATCTTCTAGCATGGCTGCAGTGGTTCGGGGAGCACAAGCGGAGCCTCGGGCCGCACACCTGGGTAGCCGAGATCCCAGTGCGGCTCACGACACCCCGGCTGCGGCCGAGCTGCAGTTATCCGAGGCTGTGGCAGCACCTCCGGGAGCAGCAGGCTGAGCGCGCCGGAGCCCCGTCTGCCTCCCCGTACCACCACCCACCGGTGCCGACCGAGGAGGCCGCCGCTCCTGCGGGGCTGCGCTCCCGTGTGACACCCCTGCAGCAGCAGGCCCCACCGTCTCGTTTGGGGGCACACGGGATCGGGTGGCAAAGCTGCAACCCGCCAGGAGATGTGGCAGGGGAGGCGAAGGCTTACGTGTGGTGGCCCTGGAGGTGGCAGCGTTCCCTGGCTTCGTCCCGCGTGGAGCAGCCTGTGCCTGGCTCACACCCAGTCCAAAACCAGGCACGATGCTTCAGCTGCCACTGACCGCCTTTCCCGAGCAAAGCACAGCCGCCCCAGGAGCCGGCGCCGGTTCCGGGGA